AGAGAGACCTATAAAATAAAATAAAGCATACCCTATTTTTTTTTTTATAATATTCATTACAGTGGAAACAAATTGAATACTTAGCTAAGAGATGAGCTCCAGTAACCGAACTGTAGATCTTAGTTAAGTGATGTGCTTCAGTCTTTCAAAACAAAAATCTCAGATAGAAAGATTGAAATAATATAACAGATGATGCATATTTTAAAAATGCTAATAGCACAGCTAATTATTTTGTTTAGCATCTGGTGCTGTTTTGTGAACTTTTTGTTGAATAAAGGTCATCGTCTGTGTTGAGGCGTTCGTTATCGACTCTTCAAGAATTCCTCAATTAGACAATTCATTCACATTCACATTGGTTCCCCACAATTGAATTTCAAGGAAAAAAATAAAAAATAAAAATACATACAGGAACAAAATGAAATACAACCTTAGAGGTTGTATTTAAACACAAATACAACCTCTAAGGGCATTTTAGAACTTGCAAATAATGTTAAACTTAAATTGATTATCGAGGGTTGTAGTCTTTAAGGGCAGACGCAATTTAAATTGAAGTTAGCGCTATAGCATAAGCGCACACCAAATGCCATATTGGTGTATTTCCTTAGCGTTGGCAGAACTAATATTTATGATTAGCGCATTAGGATTAGCGTAACTAGCTTTTTTAGCTAGCGGTGCCCACCACTTCTTTTGAGTAGCTGTCTTTATATAAAAAAAAAAAACTTTTAAACAAGCATGTTTAAAAAAGTTAACTATAAAACCCAGTGTTTCACTGATTCATCTTATGAAACAATACGGAGCCCCAGTTGCTGTGGAATACCTCTGTTATTGTTAAAAATGGAGCATAAGGAAAACACACACATGTAGTACTATAATTCTTTTGTGACAGAAACATATGCATTTCCTTTTTAATTCAGTTGAGACAGATTAGCTTGAAATGCTAGGAGAACGGCAGGAAGTGAAATCCAGATCACATTAGAAGCCGACCTTCGAGTAAAACACTGTAAAATATTGTCCAGTGAAAGATGAATAGATTAAAAGAGACAAAGAGGGGAGAGGAGCTCAGTCTCTCAAGAAACATTCCTCATTTATGACTGTATAAGGAGAAGGAGTCAGCCATCATAAGACCCTGCTACAACACACACACACACACACACACACACACACACACACGCTTAGTGTTCATCCTCCCCTCTGTTAGCTACATCCTCTTCATGTCGGCCTCACTGAGACGCCTCTTTCAGAGTGTTTTATCTTCAGAGGAATTTTTGCATGGCAGAGTGTGTACATGTGAGCGACGCTCTGCGCCGCGCCTCGGCGACCGTGATCCAAGCGCTCACATTAATGTGACGTCGTTATCTGGTGAGGCCAGCCGCCTCCCGTGTTCCTCTCCGACTCTCGCTAAAAGATTCTTTTATTTGTTTGCGTCGTGAGCGACTTTGTCTAAGCTTTATTTTTGGGCCGCACAACCTTTTATGGGCTTTGTTTTGGAGAGAATATGCTTTTGATTTAATAAATTTGAGAAACGTGATTGATGGATGACAGAAGAAATGAAGGAGCTCTGTGATGTGAGCTGAATTTGTTTGGCAGTGGTTAATGCTTAAAAGGGAAAGTGGTTCTTTTTTTTTCCTGACCTGGCTTGACAGGAAACTTGATTTAGCAATAAAAATGATTGGAAACACAATTTTGTTTTTAACATTAAATTCAAATCCTGTGCAAATGCCAGTTTAAAACATTGAATTACAAAAATAGATTGTACAAGTTTATTGAGAAAAACAGAGTGAGAGTATGAAACAGTCCATTGCGGCCACGTCGCACCAGACCAGTGATGGGTCAGTCTCGTAGTAAACGAGTGTTTGTACATCTACAGCCCTTCTCCACAGACGTGGCTCTAACTGGTTCTTCCTCCGTCTACATTTCCATACATCGAGTGGCTCGTCTACGTTTTTAGGGACGTCTCCACGTGATACAGGCCACGTCTTGGAGACGCGCACAAGCGATGTGATTGGTGCAGACTGTGTTCACTGATTGGCCTGTGGGTTCCGCGACGAGTCTGCAGTAGTTAGCAAGATGACGCGCTGAAAATCGATAACTCCATGGTCAAGCCTCGAGGTCCAGACCTTGTTAACAATTATGTCGGAAGAACACATCCAGCATCAAACTGGTCGACCAAGGATGCACGTAAAATGCCACCAACCAATGCTGCTGCTCGCTCATGGTCCCACCCATATTCCCACATTCCCACCCATATTCATATCCTCATGGTAACGGACACATCGCCAATGGAGACGCACCCAACTTGGTTAGGACTGAATCGGATGTTAATCACCTTACGAATGTAATGGCTTCTGGTAGCTTCATACTTGATTCTTCTTGAATCCTTGGCAGTTATTGGGTTTTTTTCTCGACAAGTTTCCCCAATTAACTCAGCGATTTAAAGAGTGCTGCATCCCTCAAAGAAACTTTTGATCGTTTTTGGCTCTTAAGTCTCAACTAAATCTTTGTTTTGGCTCATTTTGCCTGAAGAAAAGAAGCTGCCTAATAATTACACACACCTTGATATAGAGTGTTGACCTCCTCAGGCCACTTCCCTCCATTATCACACAGACACCTGCTACACTTACATCCACGTCTATTCATAGAAAATATACCTAAAAAGGATTAATCACATGTAATACTCTCTAATTCTATTTTTCACTGATTCTGTTGGCTGATTATCTGTAAACAAACAATATGTCAACTGTTGCATTTTTATGCTTTTCATTTTTATCCTTCCAAGTGATTTTTGGCTGATTGTGAGACAGTTTGGATTTGTTCTCTGTGATTGATTTTCTTGGTCTTAACGACTTCCTTTGTTGCCTCTCTTTGTATCCCCAATGCAGTAATTCAACTTAATGCTGGCTGGACAGTTTGCTCTGTAGATAGCAATGGGTTTACAATGCCAGCCTTTGTTTCATCACCACTGAAACTTCTCTGTATTGATTACTCCAAGACAATTCATTGCTCAGAGATTCTCTTCTGATTAACAATGAGCTGAGCCGTGCCAAGGTTAGCCTAGGAAGGAAAATTGCATCTTTTATTCCACATCTCATGGGGAAGGACAGATAGTTTTAGACATATTTGTTAAAACACAGTCTAGACATTTTGTTTCAACTTCTCCAGCCATCATTCATACATACATAAACTTACTTTCTTAATGATTTTATGATTACGATTGTTTTGACCCTCAATTTCACTCACGAAAGCTCTTGTACATATTTTGGCACATAGACATTGATTTATTACTGGTTTGACTTATTTGGACAGTTTTATGTTTTAATGTAAACATAACAGTGCGGCGATTTAAAAAACAATGAACTGGCTGCACAAGTTTGAATTTATTGGGGATTTTTTTGATAATCACAAAGGCTCCAAATTAAGCAAACAGGCTTAATCACATACATACCTAAGTATTTTAATAGACAACTCTCAAAACAATGGGAAAATCAAGTCAACCCATAGAATTATATATTTGCACCAGTTAGTGAAAGTTATTGGTGCATTTTTCTAAAACGCTGTTAATTCCAGGGTCACCAGTTTAAGCAGCTTAAGGTAAAAGCCAAGAATGCTGTACCAGTTATCCAGCATGGTGGTTGTAGCATCATGCTGAGGGACTGATGTGGTTCTGCTGCTATTAAAATATTGGTACATTGCAAAAACACAAAATCTTACCAGGCATTCTTGTCTAGTTTCTACTACAAATATCTAAGTTCCCTTGAAATACAGCAAAACTAACTTAGAAGTCAGTTTTTAGCTAGCTATAGGAGCTTGTTTTAAGTCAATAATTCCCGAATATTAATTTTTTAAAAAAGTTTACGAAGATATTTGCGCTAGAAACTTGACAAAAAAAAATTTGGTAAGATTTAGTGTTTTTACAGTAGATTCATTTCAGATTTCAAAAACCGTTAGCTTTGGCGTTAGCTTGAAATGTCCTGAAGCTGTTCAGGACGTTACCTTTAGTTTACAGTTGTCCTAGTCCAATCTGATCCAATAACGGGTTTATCTTTTCCCACAAATATATCTGTCTTCAGATGTAAAGTGCTAGCTTGCAGCATGTGGTTTTAGCAGTCCTCTGTTAGCTTACTTGTGCTGACTAACAGGTTTTTCGTTTTCAGCCAGTCTGTATCTGTCCCTTAGTTTTCCTCTTATGCGAATAACCGACCGGCCGACTGCATCCCAGTTATTGTGTAACTTGAATGAGGTAACCTGGTTGAAGTTACAACGTTAAATTTCTCTTTGCCATTGATAAAGTTCTCTTCACTGAACTGTTGTGTCCTCAGCAGAGACGGACCGACTGGAGCTTAAACGTTTGGTCAGCCGATGGACAGCCTGTTGGAGCTTTAAATACAGTTTCCACTTGCCTCTTCTGTTTTGTCTTCTGTTCCTGTTTAATCTTTTTTCATTGAATGAAACTTGATGATAAGTGTTTGGATAAGTGACATAAAACTCATAAATGTTTGTGTTCAAAGTGAAATAGTTCCATTGAGAAACTTAGAGATAATCATCTCTAGATTTAAAGTTTGGACTATTCTTATCTTCTTAAAATGAATGAGCAGCATTTTACTTTGAATTTCTTTATTCTGTCTCTCTGTCGGCCTCGGGCGTTTTCTTCACACTTTTTCCTTCTTCATTCTGAGCGCGTTGGCTCTTTCTCAACATGCGTTTCAGGTCGTCTGCTGTTTATTTTTGCCTGCACCGTAAAGATGATTTACAACAAGGCAAACGAGAGAGAAGAGTGCAAATACAGTTGGCTGCGTCTTGAGCCCAGACTGAAGCAGAGAGGAAGAGAAGAATATTTGAATCAGCATCTGTCCTGGATAGCTAAAGAACAGGAAGATGTCTTACAGGATTGGGGCCTGTTTGGGGTTTCCTGCTCTGTTCATTTTATTTACTCCTTTACTTTCCCTTTGGGTTTTAAAAACACAAAGGTACTAGTACTTCTTGTTTGTGTTTGTTTTTTTAAGGTACAAGGACTACAGGGAACCCCCCTGGTCTTCTGATGCGTACCAGTTCTCCAAGCAGTACTGGTCCGTCCTGTCTGCAAGACTGGCCTTTGTCATCTTGTTTCAGGTATGGGTTTGTTGTGTTCCACTAATGCCTGCCATTCATGCAGCAATAACTCAGAGAACACGCACAGCTAATCCAAAACGTTTGGATCACAATATGCTCTTATGCACTAAATGACCTCAGACAGACAGTGAACAGCTTTTGTTGTCTGGTACACAAACATGTGGCGACCAAATGTTAGGCTAAATGTTGTGGAATTATTACTCTAGAACACAGGTGTCCAAAGTGGGCATCCTGCCCTCCAGGAGGAGATTATTGTAACAACCTCCTCAGCAAGTCAATGTTCTCCTTAGGCCTTCTAACGAGCCATCATTTGATGCAGGTGTGTAAAACCAGGGAGAGAACTAAAACATGCAGGATGCCGGCCCTCCAGGACCCACTTTGGACACCCTTGCTCTAGAATGTCTTTCGCACATATTTGACTGTTTACTATTTTTTTTTTTTTTTGGTCAAACTATTACAGGACTTTAAGATAGAGATACAGTCCCAATTTAACTTTCAGACTCATTGTTTTTCTGGCTTTCCATCTGCAGAGGTGACGTCACACTGTGTGTATGAGAGCCAAGTCACCAGGGTTTAAATATGTCTACGAATCTATAATAACTCTGAAGAATTTTGAATTAATATGAGTTGCAAGAACATTTAATTTCCCCTCAAGATCAATGAAGTATTTTTAAGTAAGTCTTTAGCGTCTTATGTTAGCAGTTAGCATGATGTGCACCATTAGCTCACCTACTGTAAACAGCAGTCTCTGTGCGTATCACCTATGGAAATTGTAGATCGTTTCATCAATTCTGGGTTTTACACAAAGGCTGCTGTTGATTCCAAATCCAGCAATATCCATAAGACAAAACTTCTAAGGACAAAACAGAGTGACCCTACAGAACATGCCAAACTCACATTTTCACTAAAAAGTTTTGACACAAGGATAAGGTAGGTTCTCTATAGAAATTGGATTAATTTGCAAAACTGAAATGGAAACATTGTTTTTGCATCAAACGAGTCACATGATCAACAACCAGATGTTACTAATGGCGCAAACCACAAAGAAGACAATGACAGGAAGTGGTTGGAGAACGATGCCAGTTTTTAATTACTTGTCATGCGAACAAACTTATTCAGCTGTGATTTTAATTGTGTTTCTTATGTAACGGTAACTTAACAATTGCAGATTGTGTTCTTTTGACACTAGCGGAATATTGACAAAGTCTTGCGCACATTTGCAATGGAAACGCAGCTAATGAAGAAAAAATGTTCACTTTATGTAAATATCTCATTTCAACTGTACGTTAACCCATGCTTCCCTCTCCCTCCCAGAACTTGGTGATGTTCCTCAGCCTCATGGTTGCCTGGGTGATCCCAGACGTCCCCAAGACCATCGTGGAGCAGCTCAAACGGGAAAAGAAGCTCCTGGTGGATCTGTTTCTGCAGGAGGAGAAGGAGAAATTCCAGCTCATCCAGAGCCTCTTCGTCAAGCCCAACAGCCAGTCGCCCACGGCGGGCCAGGCTTTCCCCGTTCTGGGCAGATACAGCACCCTGCCCTCGGGCCCCACGGCCGGAGACGGAGGGGGGCCGAGGGCGAGGAGCAGGGCCGCCAGTTTCAGTCAGTTCAGCGACAAGATGTCGTCGTTGCCCAGGAAAGAAAACGCAAACTCAAAGCACACAGCGGTGTGACGCGTTCCGTCCCGATCGGGGGGATTAAGCTTAAATGGGGCCTGTAAGCCAACGGACTCGGCCCTTTTCCTGTGTGTTACCTGTATCATTTGTGTCCTGGTGTGTGTGACACGGTAGTGCGGTGGTGATGTCATCACAGGTCTCCTGCAGAAGTATAAACTGGTCCTTGCTGGCCTCAGTGTGTGGATCTTTAACGAACGGCTGTGTGAGTGTGCTGTTCCGACTCGCACGACTGTTCACCTGACAAAGTGTTGTCATTTTTTTCCCTTTTTTTTTTTGTACAAACTATTTAGTGAGGCACATGAGCTTCATAGCGTAGAGAAGCAATAATTACTATATTAGGTTGAATAAGTGACCAGGAACCTGGAAGAACTGCAAACCGACGGATTGCTTTGATAGGAAACACTAACCCACCAACAGACTGACGAACATCGTGGCTTAAACTTTAGGGCTGTCTGATCTGTGATTTTCCTACTTTGTTGTATTTTTGTTTACAGATTTTGTAGCTCTCACGACATTCCACATTTTCTGGACTGTTTTTAATTCTCTTTGTAAATTAGAAATAACTTTAAAAGCGGTTTACCCAACCAATTGTGACCGGTGAAGACGTCTGCTGGTTGGTTCTTTTTGACCCGCTCTAAGTACTGATGGACAGGGAAAATGCCAATATGGCACACTGTGGTGCCGTTCACCTCCTTCCAAGCTGTAGAATCAGAACTCCATGATCTGTGAAGCTGAGAATCTCTTCTGAGCCATAAGGAACTTTTGCTGCACTCACCATGACAATAATCCATGGGGATGGCCACCTGTGAATGAGACAGAGCTGAACTACACTCACTGTGTTTATGCTAAATTAAAGAAAAACTACATCCACATTCCTTTGTAATGAAACAGTGGCGTTCTCCTGGGATCAGGGTTCGGACCGATGACCTTTATGTTGCGTTGGTGAACTTCAAAGTCCTCAACTCTTCAGAGACGCTTCACAGGTTCTTCCAAGAATTCGCACCCCTCGAGTTTTTTCACATTTTGTCACATCGCATCAACAAATTTGAATGTTTCTCAGGATCTTATGTGATAGAACAACACAAGGTAGTTCATAATCGTGAAGTGGAAGAAAGAAAACACATTGTTGTGTTTCCTTGGAGCAAGAAGACGTTTTTCTGCACTGAGTTTGCATGCTCTCGCAGTTCAAGCATAGACTCTCTCCGGGTATTTCTACTTCCTCGCACAGTCCAGAAACATAACTCTTCAGTTAAATGGTTTATCTAAATTGTCCTTAGGTATGAGTGTGTGCGTCCATGGTTCCCTTTTCTGTGCTGAGATGTACTGGGAACTCGCCTAAGGGTATTCTGGTAAAAGCCAGACCCTTGTTCTGGACTTCGCTTTGTCCAGAGAGTCTGGGCTCTCGGCTGTTGAGAAACATTCGCTTGCTGGAGGAGTGGATTTTTAAACAACTGGATCTCATTTTACCCCGTTGCTATCATTTGGCTGTGACATATGTAATGCTCTAGCTTGCTCAAGCTTACCGCAAATTGTGTGCGCTGTAAGCCACTCCATGGGGAGTAATGCCAAGACATCTTTGCCAGCAATAAAATGTCTTAAACATTCGTCTCGCTCCAACTTTAATTGCTCGATGCGTCGTTCACTTCCTCCGCTGCCACTTCCTCATTTGGCCCGAGTGAAATTCACCTGTAGAAATCTAGCTCAATCGGAGAAACACTGAAGGGAGATGAGAATTGAGTGGAATTGCTTTGGAAAGCAGTGACCAGGCTATTCTAAGGGGTACTCCATCTTCCTCCCACTGACCGCTGAAGATAACCGCCCTCATGATCCTGCTAGGACAAGACAATAGAAGAATGCTGTCCCCAACAAACTATCCAAACAACCATCCATCTGCAAGACATCTAGAGTGATTCTTTTAAATATATACTTAAATATTATAATATTTCTTTCACTTCATAAATGTGCTTACTCTGTGTTGGTCTATCATATAAAACCACATTAAAGCACTCTGAAGGTGGTGGTTATAACATGTCAAGTGTAGAAAAGCATGAGACATTTAAAGACTAGCAAGGCCCTGTACATCTGATGCTTTTAGTAAGAGTTCTCTAGCAAACCACAAACTGTAATTTTTACAGCAGCGGTTTTGAGAAAAATAACACGACACAATATAGTTGTTGTATGTTAAAGTGGAACTGAAATCTAAGCTGTAGTTTTGCTGTAAGCACTAGAGCTATTGTGAAGGAAAAGCCTTTCAGAACAGCAGCGACGCTCCTCAGCCTTCAGTTCATGAGGCTTTCTGGAGCCACTGCAAGAGTGTTTTTATTGCTAAGCTTTATGATTAGGTATTCTACAAGCTGCAACAAAGTAGACGTTATCTTAAAAAAATTTATTAAGTTTTGTAAAGTCTGTGAAACATTCTGCTGTACTCAGTATTCGAGAGAAACCTTCTGTGCTGTTTGTCCATGGAATAATGTTATGTTGAAGTAGGCTTGTTTTATGACCAGGTGATTAGATCTATAACCAATATTTAAACAAAGCTGAACTTTCCACTACTACTGTTATCTAGAAGAATCATTAGTATGGAGAATATGCTCATTGACAAACAAGCTTGATGAAGGTCCGGAAATACATTGAAATGGGTCCTGTTGAGGAGTATTACAATACCTAGGATCTTGGACCAAATGGATGAGACAGCTTACTGTACGGGTACAGCAACGGCCTAATGGGCTCGACACAGGGTTAGCGACGAATCGCACATAACGCGACAGTTTCCCATCATTTGGGTGAACCCAACACACAGGACACGATAGCAACATCAGCAGCGCTTCAAAGTTGAACATTTTCCCAACTTCCTTGTGTCGCGATGCTAGTCCGCATTTGCTTGTCTACGTGTATGAGCTTGAAATTTCACATGCATGAATTTCGTTGGTCGCTTGGCTGCAGCAGAGCAAGTGGTTGACGCCTTATCGCGCAGGTTCCTTAGCAAATGAATAGAGGAAACAACATTGCCTCTCATGCGTCAAGCCCATCATGTCTGGGTTCACCACCCCTTTTGGCCTTGATACAGCTCATATATTTGGTGCAACACAAGTCATGCAATTAATTTCATGTGAGGAGAATAGCAAAAGCAAAAGCATAGTCTGCATTGCTCACACCGCATCCCCGAGTTTGTGGGAGACTTTCATCTCTCTTGGAAAATTGTTTACCAAATTCTGTCCATCTCAGACCTCAGACCAGTCCTTCCAAGTGCTCAAGATTTTTGTCAGTGAGAGTTAAGATGTCCCCAACCGATGTGACACATCAGAATGTAAGTTTAAGGGCATTCATTTCTGTTGTTCAAATCACAAGGTAACCAATAAACCAAACCTTTGTTCTATTAGAAAAAAAACAAAAAAAAACAACAGATGGGGTTTCTAAAGAATAAAAGGTCTCAAATATTATCACCTTACAAAAAAAATGGCCTAAGTCATTTCTTGATAAAAGTGACTATTTTTGGTCAAACCCTTTAGTCCATTGGATGATGCTGGTTCTGTGTCAACGTTGACTTTCTAAACAAGGACTGGCTTCCATTCCATTTAGTTTATGGTTGTTAAAAGATTACTTCAACATACATATACTTGTAAAATTAGACTTCATGTCACCATTCACAATGACTCAAACCAACATGGGGACGTCTCAAACACCAAGCCACAGCTTGTTTCATTGGGGTTCAAAGTGAAGCTGAAGACAAAGAAGAGAGACATTTTTACCACCAAAGTGTACCAGCTCCAAATGTCCTCACCTGTGTTTAAAAGGCAGGTAAGGGCAAATGAAAGAATGGAAAAGTAGTTGGAGTGTGGATGGTAGTGATTGGGGGCCGTCCTTAACTCCACAAACTGCCGAAATGCTGTAAAACCTTCGATTCTGTTTCTCGCGCCTTGGTAACTGTTCCTTATTTCCAACTGAAGACAACATGACAGGACTCAGTCACAGACTGTTATCTTTACATGTATTGAAATCTCACTTTAGGAAATTGTGATAAAAGGTATATTTGCTATATAAGTTTCTGTTGTTGATCTTTACCTAAGCTGGTGTACAAATTCCTAAATACAGATTTGTTAAATGGATTCAAGTGCATTTTTCTTTCCTTCTCTTGTTAATTTTTTTCATGGAGATGTTGAAAAATACAAACATTTATTGGGTAATCTAATGCTTATAAGGCTCTTAATAGCTCAAATTATCCAGTAAACTCAAAACCACAATTCAATCAATCTTTCCAACAATATGGCAGTCCTCTTTTTCTTTCCAGTCATCAAATAAAATTCTGAACATTATGCAACATTTTAAAACATAAAACAACAACATTTTAATCTCTCTCACTGAGACGAGTCTTTGAGATTTCTGCTTCCTCGTCTGAAAATGAGAGTGAAACGATCATAAATTCACGCCGCGGTCTTCGTGTGCGATTCGGTTCCAGCTGTGAACACAACATGTGGAACTTAGCAGCTACAGCATCGCATCACGAGCCACTTGCTTTTACAGCGGTACGGTTTTAACCGCCACCGGCTGCTGCGCCGGCGCTGGCGGTTGAGCAAACCGACATCCTGAAAGTGGCATTCTGGGACTCGCATTCCTGACATTTACTGCTCTGTAGGAGGAACACTGCCATGCACTAATGAAGGAGATGTCATATCCCAGGAACTGCTGGTATGTCCTTGTAAACTACATCTGGATGTGCAGCAGTTTTCTTTTCCGTTTTGATATCTATCAGCTTTTTCTGTGACCCTTTAAAAGCATCGAAGATTTGTAAGAGTCACGTGGGCTGACGACGTTTTAGTCCCACTCTGAAGGCATGTCAATATTTATTGTATTATATGAGACACAGTCAGACTTTAAGCCGATAAGTTATCATGATCCGTCCTGTTTGAAAACACAATTCTGAGAAACGGGATTATTTGGAGAAGAGATAAAGGAAGTGAAAGCAGGAGCGTTAGAGGGAATCCTTAATAAGCGGCAAAACATGAAAAAGTATTTTCCCTGCTTTTCAAATTCATGTTTCCAAACATTTGGTTTTATTTTTTAAAAGAACAAAAAGTTCCCCCATTTTGTGTTCACCGGTGAGTCAGTAGCTGCGTTTCCATTTACAAAATGTGCTTAAAACGTTGTCGCTACTTCGCTAACGTTGAAAAAAACACACACACAAATAAAAACACACAATTTCGCAACCGGTGTGTTTCCATCAAATAAGAAGCGATTGAAGTCGCATCATGTGAATAAGTTTGTTCAAGTGATGCGTCATTGAGAAACATGCAGCAGCATCGTCCTCCTGCCACTTCCTGTTGTTTTTCTCGCAAAAGACGACAAAAACAAAGTGTTTCCATTGCAGTTTTACGAAATCCACAAAATTCAATATGGCCGAAAAGCCGCCACGTCCTAGCACAGAAATGTATCAAAATAATAATAATGATATATATATTTTTTTAATTAACATGTTTCCACTAAGTGAGTATATTTTCGTAATTCCAGTTTGCGCAATTATATACTCAGTGGAAACAGTTATTGTGCCTCAATAGGAGGAAATTCTAAAATATATGAGAAACGTCAGTCTGGAAGGAATTACAAAGCTATTTCCACCACTAATATCCACTAAGGGAGAAATAGTGGAACAGTGGTGAACTTTTCCCAGGAGTGGTCAGCCAATCAAAATGACTCAAAGAGAACAGTGGCGAATCACCCAAGAACAGAAGAATCCAGAGCAACATCTGAAGCTTGCCCCCATTATGGTCAGTGTTCATTATTTAACACAATGGCATCCAGCACCAAAACCACCGCCGAGCAAAACAAACCCCGATTCCAAACAAACATCCTGATCTGCAAACATTTTGGGAAAAAAATATTCTGCAGACAGACAAGGCTAAAGGGTAAAGGTAACAGCTTTTCAGAACGAGCTGACATGGTGGTGGAAGCTGCTGAACAAAGCAGTGTTCACATCGTCTCTGTTGGAATGTAGAGAAGAAGTTGTTAGTGTATTTTTAAACACAATTTCAGACCCTTGCAGAATATTTAAAGCATTTTACAGAATAGGTTTACTAAACTTTACATGGCTTTTTAAATTGAAATGATTGTATTTTCTGTTTGGGAACAGAACCTGCTCCTAATGAGCCTAATTAGAAAGATGAGTAGCAGAAAGTGAAACGTCATCCGTCTGCATTGTCTCCTTGCCTTTGTGTTGATGTTTTATTGTTTCCTGCCTCTGGCTAATTCCTGGCCTGCCCACATTCGTTTCATCCAAACTCCTCTTTAACTCTGGAAAACTAACAGGTTCACTCAGACACCAGTAGATATAAAACAATCAAACTGAACATGAAAAACAGAATACTATATGAAATCCTACATCTAAGAAGACTGTTTTTTTTTTTTAAATCATCCGTTAACTCTGGCGGCGTAGCTTAGCTTTCAGCTCAGCAGAGATCACTCATTAATATTCACATTAATATTCACGTCACAGCAACTCAAGAAGAGCTTGTACATGTTCACCAACATGTGTGTCTAATTAGCCCTTTGCATTCTTTCCCCTTTTTACACAGCAGGCACTGAGACGTGTAGAAACAAGAGAACACAGGTTAAACTCATTTTTAATTATAGCGTTCCATCCGGCATCCCTACTTAGTACAACAGAGAAACACATGAATGGAATCCATTAAGTGATTCATTTCAAAGAATGAGTGGCAAAAACAAAGCGTACTATAACCATATGATAGAGCTGGAAAACCTAAACTCCAACCTACATCCTTTAGAAACAAATCAAACTGTGTCCTAAGACGGCCCAGCAGATCCAAACTAAATATTAAGTTAGCAGAATGAATATATTTAGCTTAATAACTGAACATTTAGCTTGATAGTTCAATACTTAATGAAAAAGCTTGATATCTAGTTTACCATCTAAATACTTAGTTTATTCTAAATATTTAGCTCTGAGACAGCTGAAAAGTGTAGCTTAAATAAAAGTTTAGCTTACAAGCTAAATATTTAGTGAAAAAATATTTTGCTAACCAGACAGTTAATTTGAAGCTAAATATTTAGCTAGCAAGCTAACTGATTGACAAAATATCAAGCATAGAAACAGCATATTTAGCACTCACTTAAATATTTAGCTCTGAGATAGCTAAATATTTAGCTTAACTAAAAATGTAACTTACTAGCTAAATATTTAATAAAAAAAACACTTTACAGTGTATTTAGTTATTACCTAAATATTTAACTGTGACCTTGATAAATATTTGGCTATTTCCAAGCTACGAGACTTTATATTTTGCATAATGTATTTGATTATTTATCTTGCTAACTGGGCATTTAATTTGAAGCTAAATATTTAGCTAGCAAGCTAATTGTTTGGTTGACAAAATATCTAGCATACAAACAGCATATTTAGCTTTAACCTAAATTATTATTTAGCTCTGAGATAGCTAAATATTAAGCTTCGCTAAAAAAAATTGTTTGAAGTTAAATATTAAGCAAACAAGCTAAAGATTTAATTCTAGCCTAAATATCTCTTAGCTAGATATTTTTAACCTTTGTGTGTATCTTTACAAACGGCTCCCCATGGCCTGCTTATGTTCATACGTAGGTTTACTCTGAAGCCGACGAATCACTTCAATACAGGATTTTTAATCTCTAAAAATGTGTACAAGTCTTCAAGTCTTCTTCAAGTCACTTTATATTTTGCATAATCTATTTGTTCCAATATTCCTGTAACTTCTCTCGGCGCACTTGACCTTCCTGTACACCGCTTAACATTTTCCGTCTCACTGATGCGACTTCTTTCATATGTCAGTCTGATTCATGACCAGGTCACACCTTAAACGCACACAGCTACGCATAAAACATCCACACAGAATGTTTAAATCATGCAGGTGAAAAGTGCTCTGTATGTGTATTTGCACATATTCCACGAATAAAAGGAAGTGCATACAAAGTAGGAAGTTTAACACCCACGCTCCGCAGTATAGGGAGCCCAGCTGGGACACACCCTGTTGTCCATCCATCTGTGCAAATACATTAACTTTGAAGTATGAAACCAGGGTGCGTGGGTTACTCAAAGTCTTTCTAGAACTCTTGCAAAAATGATTTTCTTTCTAAACTTAGGCTGGCTCATCTTTGAACAGTAGAAACTGAAATAAAACAAAGACAGATAACCTGGAAATGTTTTTATTATTATTATATTTAGATTTCTTGGTTGTTCAGACTGAGGTTGAGGTTCAGACTGATAAATATTTTGGTTGGTTTGGTGTGAGAGGAAGCATCAATATGTTGGGAATTATTCCATGTTTTACAGTTGGTCACGGTGAAGAACACGTCAGGCTGCGCTACGCCGTAAAATGCCCTGAAAACCTTGTTAGAGTTCATGGTATCTCCTTAAACTACAAGGATCAATGGTGGTGATCAATGCTAAAAAAAAAAAAAAAAAACTAGCATCGTTGTGCAAGAATAAAGTCAAAATAAAGCCATGAAATTACGTGGATAATGACAAATTGATACAAGAATAAAGTAACATTATGACTTTATTCTCGGCTATGAGAATATTCTTGTAATATTTTTATTATTATTTTCTTAGTGTGGCCCTATTAATGCTATAAGATTATTTTCAAAAGCTACTTTCAATCTGATAAACCAGCCTGACCAGAACTCCTCTTCTAATTCACTGAATCTGACTGTAGTAACCATAAAGGTTACTACAGTAAACCAGCTGTAAATCAGTCATAGTGACAGTTTGTACATCTGTTTTTATTCACTCAGTCTTTAGTACACATGATTTGTAAAAGGACTAGTTAACAAACTAAAGTGTGTGAAAATGATCCAAGTTGTGTTTAAAAACATAATTCTGTCTTACGTTTGAGGCTGGCCCTAAAGTTTCAGGTTTCATGGACGGACAGACGGACCCCAGCATCCCGTCAACACACACGATGAAACACACACACGCACACACAACAATGAGACAAACTGTGTATACACACCCACAGAGCAAGATAGATTTATAATGTGTGTGTGACATAAATCACACACAGATAACTTGAAACAATGGGACTTAATGGTTTACAGGCTCAGCCCGCCTCATGGCAGAATGTTA